GAGAGAGAGAGAGAGAGAGAGAGAGAGAGAGAGAGAGAGAGAAAGGGACGAAAGGGAGGGACATGAAGCGAGAGAAGGGAAAGAGGGATAGAGAAAGAGAAATTTCCACCTTGCCATCCTCAAAGGATGCATCGGCCAGAATGGATTTTCTGTTTTCGAATTTTGTTGATACTGGCCGGTTATTTTATTACTATGTTGTAAAGACGATATGTTATTTTGTATAACGTGAACGTAATAGGAGGAAAAGACGAGAAAGATTTGTTAATTCTTAAAATAGTACAAAATGAATTTTTTTTCGTTATTATCGTCAGAATAATAATTATTATTATTATTCCAATTTTTTGTGATAAGGAGGGAAGGAAGAAAAAGATACGTCGGGCGGAATAAAAAATTTTCAGTTTTTTATCGAATTTTGTTGACATGGCAATTTTTTCTCGTGGTTATTATTATTCGAATATTCTATATATTATTGTACACACGCGCATATATACACAACACGTTTACACTTATCTGCAATTTACTCAGTGCACGGATTTATGGCAACATGGCGGCTATTGATTGAACTGGAAACGATCCGATGACTCTCTCTATGTAAAGCTGATAGTGAATAGACTAGTCGAAAACGAGTTTTATTTCGTTGTTTTTATATCACGTTGGAGCAATAATTTACCGTTCTAGAGAATTATGTGTATATGCATATCGATGCAGAAAGAAAGTATTCAATGGTCTAATCATACAGAAAAATCGGATTTAATTCTATTATAATATCATATATTTCGTGTTTCGCGATGAAAATTCAAAATTTCAAAAAAATAAATGTCTAAAAATCAATAGTCTTCCACCAAATTATGCAAAATAAAATAATTAAAAATTAATTACATCATTGGAACTGTGCGAGATGCAAATCCAACTAAAAAACATTTAAAAAAAAGAAAAGAAAAGTTAAATCGTATTTAAAAAAATCAAATGAACCGACGAATGATTCCACTGTTAAGAAAGTATTAGTAATTCTCCCGTTTCCCTAAAAGAACAATAGAATCCGTTTCGATCCGTTCCACGGACAAGTTCTTTCGCTTTCGAACGAAGATAACGCGAATAGATAGCAGAGGGGAATGATTATGCACTACGAACGATCAGGTCGCAGCCTTCGAGAAGAAATGAGGATGCGTTAAAATATTCAAGGTTCACTTTAGATAAAGAACATTCGACTATTGCATTTTCTTGCGAGATATAATTTTGATAGGGAATCGTTATTCGTCCTAGACACGAATAATTTTAATTTTCAATAAAAATTACTATTACTTACAATAACAGAAATGTTTTATTTTTAAAAATATTTACTTTAATCGGTATATATAATTTTATAGGTATTTTGAATATTAAAATAAAGTATAATATTCACAGATAGTAGAACAGATTAAATTTTTAGAAATTTTTAAAGAAAATATGAAGAAAAATTTTACTTTTCTTTTTTCTTAAATTGGAAGAACATTTTTGTTTCATTGGAGTTTTAAGCTTGATTATTATAATTTCGTTATTTATGAATACGCAACACGGTTATTTTTCGAGCTTCTCTTATTAGAGTTTGCATCACACTATGCGCTCGTATCAAATTAACCCCCTGTGTCTTGCAAGTTACACTTGTCGCGTGGAAAACACGGTCCAGAGGTGATAACGAGTCGCACTCATGACGCAGAGAACATTGCAAATGTGAAAGTACAGGGGCGTCCCAAAAAGCACGCTAATCACTTTACGCGTTAAAATAGAAAATCAAACTATAAATTCCAACTAAAATAAATTTTAATAACCACGAAAATTTACATTTTTATTATATTCGAATGAAATCATCGCACTTGAAATATCAAAGTTATTTATGTTTTTTTTTACGAAAAAGAAAAAAAAATGTCTCTTGACGTAATATATTTACAAATTCGAATATAACGTTTTCATATAAATTTATATATCTCACAAAATCTCACATATGAAATTAACTTTTTTCAATCTTTATGAAATATAAATATGTATATTTTATTAAATACAAAACAAGAATTTTAAAATTCATTATTCCAATGATCTCTTTTCTTGAATTTTGTAAATTTCAAATAATTCGTATTCTCGTATAAAATAAAAAAAATTTTTAAAATTCATACTACAGAATGAATAACAGCAATTTATAGAGAGAAATGAATAACAATATTCTTAATACCTCTATAAAATATAGCAATGTAATTATAATAAAATAAATACGCGTTAAAAATTATTAATTAAAAATAACAGCAACCCTTCTCTTGTGGCACAAATTGAAAACAAATTATATTATTCTTTATAGAGAGAATTCGTATTACTTATATGATTCATCATTCATATTCAAAATGTCTATTACTTATTTAATTTTCTAATCACGTCACATTACCATTTTGAACCACTTTATATCTTCTTATTATACTAAGCTTCTCCCTCCTTGCAACCTCGTTTCAGCTATTCCGTTAGTTTACCCGTTCAAATAACCCGTAAGTGTACAAAACTTGAAAATTCTCTCAAGACGAGCTTCCATGGAGCATTCCACCACGTGTAAAAGCGAAACGCGTATATGGAGCACGTTCACCGCTCGCTTGAATCCTTTACTCCGCGTGATAACTCGCGTAAGTGGCCAACGACGAACAACGATGCCTTAAATATGTGCATGCGTATGGTAACAGGTACACTTAGCCCTGCTGAACTTGACTGGTTCGATGAAATAAAAACAAATCAAACTAAAAACAATCCGGAAATAAACAGCCTCGGTTATACTTCTATCGTACGGTATTATATTACGTCTTCGTCGTTGAATATTCGCGTTTGTTTATATCTGCTCGACGACAAGAGGACTATGGTGAAAAGTTAGCGCGATACGCTACTGCGCATATCAGCCATATTGAATATTTAGTATATCTTATGAAAATTATTTCATTTTTCATAATGTTTTATAGAAACGTTAACACGAAGAAAAAGTGATTAATAATTAATATTCAAGATATCGAATGATTTTTGACCAACTATGTATTTATTTATTTATTTTGTTTCAAATAATATGACCTCGTATTTAGTGACAATGTTCTACTTTATCGACGAGACAGAAAAGGTGGGGTTACCATCCGGAAGTCAAGTATTCAGTTGGCGTACGTAAATAGAAGAAAGAAAAGTATTTTCAGAAAATCATATTGGTGATTTTTTTTTCTTTACTTTCTTGTGGCTTATATATAAAATAGATAAAGAACGAACGATCGAACTTTGATATATTTTATTCTTCTACAGATTGAAAAAATGATATGGAAACTCAGAGACACAGGTGTTACTTGTCCCTGATAACGAATTCTACGTGAGAAAATGTAGAATACAATATTTTTTTGTCCAAGACTTTTATTCAAACGTTGTAATACGATGACTAACAAGACCTTATTAGCTTTGGGAAATTAGCACTACTATCTGACGATGACTTCAACGGCCATGGTTTCGCGTTTGCCGACTCCTTCCTTCGCTGAATCATCGTGTCTCAATAGGTAATTAGTTCGTGGTATTTTATAGAATTTTCAAAGAAATATTAAAAAAATTCATATATAAGAAGATTTTTAGAAAATTTTAAATTTCTTGCAAAACAATGTGTAAAATATTGTTATTTTGCGTCTGTAGAGACGTAAAGGAGCTTAGAGAATGAGATTTTTCTTGAAAAAAGAAGTAAAAAATGTAGAACAAAGTTTTTTCGTAGCAACTCCCGTTTTTGAGATAATGGAGTTTGAAAGTGCGTGGGTGAATCTTATATCAATATGTATTCTATGAACTTTGAGGTTAATTTTCTCCGGAATGGAAACTTGTATAAA